TCTGTAACAAACTATCAGTTGCTTTGCTCTGAACTCTTCTTTGGAGGTTTAGAACACATCTTAAGGATACTATGGAATAGGCTGATCGGTGAATCACACGTGCTGGGCCAGGGTGAGGGAATATATTGTATGCAGGTTGAAAATAGAAAGAATTTTTAAGTCTGGTGGTCTAGCGGTTAAAATAGGGTACCAAGTGCAGGCCCGTATGCAGGAGTTGCAGTGAGGGGGTGCTTTTTTTGTAAAGATGGGCCACAAGTCTGAATGCACCCCTGTGGTCCCCCAGATAAAGGGGGAAATCCGCCCCAGCCTTCCCCTGGCTGGTCAGAGCATTGGAGAGGAGGGAGGCTCAGGCAGTGCGCTGTTCCTCAATGGTTATTATCCAGGATGGGTAGGAATGGTGTCCCTAGCCTCTGTTTGTCTGGAAATGGATGACAGGAGAGGGATCACATGATGACCTGTTGTGTTCCCTCCCTCTGGGGCATCTGATACTGGTCACTGTTGACCGACAAGATACTGGGCTAGATGGACCTTTGGTCTGACCCCATGGCTGTTCTTATGGTCTCCCTTTCCCTGGCTGGCAGGAGCATGATCACTTGGGGACTTTGGGGAGAGTGCTTTTGCACCCCCTCTTCAAGTATGGGCCTGAAGTGCCACATCTTGGTTAAATGACTTCCTCTTAGGGCCATTATCCAGCCTGCGAAATCAAGGTGCTTAGCCCAGGGAGGCTAAGATTTGTTTAGTTTCTCTACCAAGCTCCTGTAGAAGCACAAAAATAAAGTTACAAACATCATCTGATGTTTCACATTGTGTCATTCAACCACCTCCCCATCCACTATCCAGGCTAGCCTGGATCTTGTCAAAATGTTAACTCTTAAGTTGGAATTGACTTTGTATTCAGTTTGGTTTAGTAAATACAGAAATAGAGAGGAGAACCTTTCTAATTAGACCCTGTGTGGCCCAAAAATAAAGTCTTAAATGCAATGGACATCTGTTGTTGGTATGAATTCAATTCAAAATCTGGCTGAAAATAGTTTGAAGGTGCAAATATGGGAATACTTTGTTATTAAACATGAGTATCTGCCTAGGTCTCTGCTTTGCTCCTTACAGGGCATTCCCCTTTGTGAAAGGAATGCTGTGCTGATGTATAGATATGGAACTGTAGGGCACAAATTCATAGAGCTGCCTATTGCATATGTTAACCAGCATTCCTAATGCAATCTCTTTGTTTGACTTCTAGGGCAATTGATTTCCATTTCCTTCCCCCGCCATGAGGAGGAGTACCTCCAGCTGACAGTGAACTGGCACCCATGCCTTCTAATCTTTGGTCAGAACTGCAATGCCAAATGCCAATTGCTAAACATGCTTTTGGGTGAAAAGCTGCTACCCACCACCAAAATAAGCAGCGAGGAGAACTGTAAGAGGCGGCGGATCCGCTTCACACATGGGACACAAACACGGATTAGTTTGGCACTACCTGGGCAGTATGAACTGGTGCACATGTTGGCAGCCCATCAAGGGCAATGGGATACAATACCAGAGGAGGACTTGGAAATCCATGGGGACAATGAGGATCCAGCACACCAGATAGCAGAGCTGGAGGTGACGCTGCCGTACTTGCTACTAAAGGTACTGATTAGCGACACATGTGGGGTTAGCATTTGTACCTGTTGTATTTAGGCTTATTCAAAGATAAACTTTATTGTATGTGAATACGTAAAACAATGCGAAGGAAGCTGGAAGAGGCACAAATTGTATTGAGTGCATAATTAGCCTATAAGGGGCCACTGTGGCTTTGCAGTTTATGTGTAGGAAGAGCCATGTGGCTTTTTCTACATTTAAAAGGCAGAGCCGCAGCACTACTGCTCCTCTTTCTCCCCTGCCCTCTCTCCCCACCACAGACACAGTGCTGTGGGGAGCCAGCTCCTGGTTCTCCAGCACCACCCCCTGCTGCCTTTGATATAGAGGCAGCAAACGGCAGGGGGAAGGGAGGACGGGCGGAGGGAAGGGAAATGCAAGTAGTTGAGTTGACTACTCGATGAGCGTAGGCTTCTTTGGTAGTTGACTAATTGACTACTCTTTTAAATCCCTACCCCAGAGAAGCCTGGAAGTGCTGTGGTGATTTAACAGAGGGCAAATGGATACATGTGTTTATTGCTCTAGCCACAGATAAAGCACTCAGGCCATGTCTTTGCTCTGGAGAAGATCAACACTACCACAATCAATCTCCTGGAGTTCGATTAACTAGACCAAGTAAAGACCTGCTAAATAGAATTCAGAGGGTACCCCCATTGGCTGGTACTCCTGCTCCTGCGAGGAGTAAGGGAAGCTGATGAGTGTTTGCTCCAGTCAGCCTCTTTCTGTGGGGACAGCAGAGAGCTGCTAATCAAAGTACATTAATTCCAGCTATGAAATTCAACCTTCCCCTTTAGTGTAGACCTGGCCTTAGTTATTATTGCTACCCAGATGCACCTTAAGGACTGCAGCCCCCCCCCCCCCATTTCCTTCAGAATCAGCCTCCTATCCAGAATGACTGACCTGAGAACAGATGTGTCTCCTCTAAGTATGCCTTGCTGCATTCTGCTCATGTCAGCCCTGTGGGTATAGTCTTAGCATTCCACATGCCAGCTCTGGGATAGGGCAGGTCTATACTACTGTGGTAAATCGATGCAATTTACCCAACCTCACTCATATGCTTAAAGGAACTGAAGTTGATGTTGTTAGATCCTCTTACCGTGGTGGCTACACTGGGCTCTGTGGGTGGGAGAATGTCTCTCGTTTGTTTTTGTGTTCCCCAGGTGGCATAAGGGGGGGGGGGGGGGAAGTGGCGTACACCAAGTGATAGTGCTCTCCCATCACTTTAGCATGTCTTCAATTGGGGTTTGAAAAAGGGTTTTAAAGTAACTGTTAAAAATCCTAGGCTGCGTCTAGACTGGCAAGTTTTTCCACAAAAGCAGCTGCTTTTGCGGAAAAACTTGCCAGCTGTTTACACTGGCCGCTTGAATTTCCACAAGAACACTGACTTCCTACTGTCTGAAATCAGTGCTTCTTGCGGAAATACTATGCTGCTTCCATTGGGACAAAAGGGCCAGTGTAGACAGCTCAGATTTGTTTTGCGCAAAAAAGCCCCGATCGCGAAAATGGCGATCGGGGCTTTTTTGTGGAAAAGCACGTCAAGATTGGCATGGATGCTTTTCTGCAAAAAGTGCTTTTGCAGAAACGCATCCGTGCCAGTCTAGACGCTCTTTTCCGCAAATGCTTTTAACAGAAAACTTTTGCGTTTAAAAGCATTTGTGGAAAATCATGCCAGTCTAGACGTAGCCCTAGTGGTTACATGTGCTGCAGGCTGTGCAGTATCCACCTTCTACAGCAGAGCTCACAGCGTGGGATGGCAGCCGGCTCCTGAGAACGGGTCTGGCAAGGCAGAAAGAGTTAATTGCAACCAATAAGCTGAGGTTTATCAGTTAAACTCTTTCATCCATAGTCTTCACCAGATTCTCCAAATCCGCTCTTGCTGCATGGATTTGTAACCGTACCAAGCTACTTTGAAATGAAGAAATCCTTCTATATTCTGCAAAGACTGAGTACCTTTCACTCCCAGACAGCATTGTGAGTTGAGAATTATTGGCACATCCCAGGTTCAGACTTGGTAATTGAGTGCCATACAAGTTAATCCTTTTTTAGATTATAACCACCAGGAACAGGGTGTCTACATTCCAAGTTTTGTCACAGCCATGCTGTGATCTTGGGCGAGTTGTGTAACTTCTCAAAATTTCCTCATCTATAAAATAAAGGTAATGCATTCTTATTGCTTCTCTATCTTGTACAGGTGGGCAACGTAGGCTAGTGAGTGGGCTGCATAAATGGCCCTACTTCATCTCAGTGGGCCACAAGATTGTTGTAACCAAAGTAGTCTCCCAGGATAGGGTGGTTTTGTTAACTGCACCTGTGTATCTAGTATTTGCCGGCTGTGCCGATTGAACCATAGTAGCGCTTGGGATGCAAAGGGAGCGCATGGCTGTTACAGTCAATGTTGTGTGCACTCAACATGCACCTGACTTGCTTTACATACGTGTCACTTTAGTAATGGTGGTGGTGGGGAAAACTTTGTAAATTAAAACCAGCGGAATCTGGCAACCTTGAGCATGGGCAACTGTAAATAAAATGTCCTCTGGACCACGCGCAGAACCTTGATGGGCTGCAAGTGGCCCACAGGTTGCCTGTTACTGATGTGGAGGCTCCACAAATATCTAACTTGTTTTCAAAGAAGGAGACTCATTTACAGTAGCTTGCATTCAAAGCATTTGCAGTATATTCACACTCCACATAGACCATAACATGAAGACTAGCGAACATTTACATTAGGAAATAGATCGTATTCTGAGTACATAGAAATTATCCTGTTTTTCAGATTAGTGAGATTATCGACTTATTTCTTTGTTCTGTACATGTATATTATCAATAGCTCATTGAAAGAAAATACTAACAAGGCTGGGGGTACGGAATTTCAAGTTACAACGTACAGTGTATAAACCAGCCTTCAGCTAAAGAGTAAATCAGCCCATGAACGGTGAGTGTTTACTTCTGTGACTTTATCCATCGGTGGTGTGTGTTCATATTGGAAAAAGCCTTTTATACTGGATCTTTTGGGCATGTGGTAATGTAATATCCAGTGAAGTTAAGCTTAAATGTTTAGTTTTAAGTTGAAATATTTTACTCACTTATTTGGTTAAATTTTTATATAGATCTGAGCATGGTGCAGCTTGCAACTCCTGCAAATTTCTCATGCAAGTGACAAAGATCTCTTTGTTTGAGCTCTGGTCATATTTGGGGCAAGTTAGATGAAAACAGCCACTCAAACTTGAAAAGGGATGGCAAAGTAAGGAGACCATTTTTAGTGGAAGATGGACTGGGAAGGGTTACTTGCTAGCCTGAATTTGGGCTGGAGGCTTCTTTTTGAAGATGAAATTTCATTAGACTAAAAGCAAGGAAGATCAAACGTCTAAGAGTGTGTATTTAATACACTGCAACAGTGTGATCCTTTCTTAATGTAGATAAGGATCAGTTGAATAGGGATAGCTTTCTCTGTCAAATCATCTGGTCCTGGTCAGGGCCAGCCTTAGGGGAAAATGGTGCCTTGTTCCCCACTGTCTTCACCCTGTGCTTAATTTTTAGTGAGAGGGGCTGTGTTGCTGACTGGGTGCTTTACCACCACTGAGGTCTGAAGCCAGCATGCTAGAGAACTGCTAAGTGACAGTATGACACATTTAATTGTCACTTTATGTGATTTGGGCAACAAAAAGTTGAAAACTCTCTACAGATCTTTCTACACATTGTAAAAGATGCAGAACTTGTAGAACTTGTCTTAAATCTGCTCTACCTGGTTGCATACAATGTTGTCAGAAAGGATCATTTAGAAATCAGCTTTCCTTCTTGCTGGTCTGTTTGGGCAGACTTAATATTTTTGAACAAGCAGATATGATACTACTTTTACCTGTT